TCCATACTACTGACCAAATAAATGGCACAGGAGAAGCTCCATCCGTCACTTCTCGCTGTGAAAACTTCTCCCAATTGCTTGTCCCAGCCCATGATCATCTCCTCCCTTGAACCACCTGAGATCTATCCCCACCTCCATGTCTTGCCTCCAACCATGTGTCTGTAAACCAGGATGTATTTTTAAATACATGTAGGCAAATTCTGTTTCCACTTATGGATGGTTTTATTAAATCACCTTAAGCCCGTTCTTTACCACTTTGCCTCCAGAAGCTGTTGCAGACCAGGACATGCACATATATACACAGACCAGACGATCTACCCTTTGCAGACTGAGATAAGCTTGGCTGGAGCAACTTTACACCAGTAAACAGTGAGAGCACAGTACAACCAGCACAAAGCAAACACTTTTCAAAGGACTCATTCTCTGTATTGTCTGGAGCTGATAACCCATATCCACATCATCCTGAGGGCTGCATGGATAGAAGGGTCCGTTCACCTGCTGAGCTTGCAAACGACCTGCAAGACAAGAGCCCACGGATGCCTTGGGGATGATGGAGAAGGAGTCAGATGCTGAGCATCACCTAAGTGAGACTGCGGTCATGGCTCTGCACCATTTGCATCTTTGCTAAAGATGCCTCCTTCCCTCACAGTGCATCAGGCATTATAGACACTCTATCAGCAGTTGACACTCTGAGCATATTTCACATATGATTTAGCAGCAAAAACTTACATCACTTGACCCTTCTTTATTGCACTCTTCAATTACTGCTCAGCAACACTGGGGAGAAAAAAAAAAAAAAGGGCTCAACCGTGCTGTAATTTACTGTGTTGCAGTACATTATTAGAAGATTTAGCAGTGATTGTGTTGGAGATGTTGTCCAAAGCAAGAGTATGGTTAACTAGAGCTGACTGATTTCAGACATCCCAATTTCCTTTTATAAGGAAGAGAGGAGGGAGACATGTCCCGCCGTCCACGGAGAAATCAGGACTTCAGACTGTCTCAACCAGCTACTGTCTGAGCCTCTTATGTGAATGAGATTTCTGTAAGGTGATTTCCAAGGAGGGAATAGTGGAAACCACAGCTAAGCTGTACAGAGCACGATGGTACGTGACATCCCAGGGCCACCGCTGCTCTGTTGGGAGATGTCGGTGGATGCCCATGGAGCTGGGGTGCTCATACTTGGAGAGGTGCCTGAATTCAGGAGTTGTGGGCATGGAGCAAGAAGGACATGGTGTTGCTGGCTAGGAGTGACCTGGAGGGTGGACACCAGCGTTCTCATTTGGGAAGGAGCTGGCTCTGCCCTCACTCACAGCTCCTCCACCCAAGGGCAGATCAGGGCTGTGGTTCTGCTCATTAATCCAGGCATTACTGGATCATCCAAATTTGACCAGACCAAGAGCGGCCACATAACTGCATTTCTGACAAGTTACCTCCAGCGCCCGGGGTTCATGTAATTGTGTGTGTTTAAGCCTGGCTTTGTGCCAGCTGCAGAGGGACCCACATAAAGTGAGAGTGGCACAATCGGACAAAGTCTCTGGCCAGACCATGCCGTCAGGACCACACTGCACCAGGTTTATACCAGGCCAGCACTTTGTTTCATGTGGCTGCAGCTTTTCTGAGCCCTACAGATGGATTTACAGCATCGGCAAACCCCAGCCAAGGGGAAATTCCTTCTCACTTTAACCTTTAATCTCTATTTTAACCTTCAGACTACTTCCCACCCTGCATCTACCAGCCCTAGAGCTAAACAAGCTTTGGGTGAATGAGAACACATAGAAGCTGGTACTCAGCATCCTTCTGTCATGTTCTTTTTTTTTTTGTTGTTGTTGGTGTATGTGTTGAATGAGGGCTAAAATTAGCTCAGCAGGAGGTGAAGACTGGATCATTTTAGCTAAAGCTGCCGTTGTATTGAAAAGCAATAGCTTTGCTGATTATTTCCCAGTTTTCTTACTGTAAACAGTCGCCTGGTCTTTTATTTTGACAGATGAATGCAAGTAAAGATCCCATAAAATAAAGAGCTCCATGAAGTGTTTCAGCAAATTTTCCAGATGATCACTGTAATGCTTGACCTGGAAAGCCATGTCTAGCTGAAGGTTCAGCCAGCTTAACATGTCTCCAGCCACACCCGAGTAGTCACGTAGGACAAGGTGTAAAATGGGATGTGTGGGGGTTATCCCAGGCCCAGCAGGCTCTTACTTCATCTTGCAAGTGATACGGCAGCCAAGCAGCACTGTGCCCATCATGGGGACACCTCCACAGCTAGCCTCTGGGCTTTGATGGATCATTTTTCCTCTGCACTGTCATAGAACTATAGAATGATTTGGGCTGGAAGGGACCTCTAAAGGCCATCTAGTCCAACCCCTGCCATGGGCAGGGACATCTTCACTAGGTCAGGTTGCTCAGAGCCCCGTCCAACCTGGCCTGGAATGTTTCCAGGGATGGGGCATCCACCACCTCTCTGGGCAACCTCTGCCAGGGCCTCACCACACTCATCATAAACAATAATTTTTTCCTTGGATCTAGTTTGAATCTCCGCTCTTATAGTTTAAAACCGTTACCCCTTGTCATAGGACTACGGGCCTTAGTAAAATGGCTGTCCCCATCTTTCTTCTAAGTCCCCTTTCAGCCCTGGGAGGCCGCTCTAAGCTCTCCCCGGAGCCTTCTCTTCTCCAGCTGACCCCCCCAACTCTCTCAGCCTGTCCTCATAGGGGAGGTGCTCCAACCCTGCTCATTTTTGCAGCCCTTATTTATTTTGGAAAGCTGTTATGAGAAGAGATCATTTAGGGGTACAGTATTTCTATCCTCTGCTTTCAGCTCTCAGGAGGAGCAATGATTTATAGCCTCTGTATCTCACAAGCAGAAATTCTGAGAAACAGCGAGGTTAAATTAGTTGGTCACATCTCACGGACCAATGTGTGGGAGAAAAACCCAGATCTCAATTCAAGGCACATCATCTATGCTACAATTTGGCTTCAGGACTTTAACCACCAGGAGATGGTACATACCTCTTGGCACAAGGTGAAAACATCTGCAAAACATCTCTTAAACGCAGAGTCCTCTCGTGTGCCCACATGGCTTGTTGCTACTTTGGTGTCATAAATCAGGGACAAAACTATCATCTCACCTCTTCTGGGTAAGGACCCATGCCTTATTGCCAGTGCAACAGCCTGGAGGTGGGACGATATTCCCTATCTTTTGGTTGCTCCAGAGTAAAAGCCAACTTCTCAGCCAGCTGACTGTAATCCTAGTGTGGCCACTGACCTGCTGCCTCCTAGACTTGGAGGGATCTTTCTAACACCAGGTCCCTCCTGCCTGCACAGCCCTGCTCCTGCACATAAATGCTACAAAAGCTCAGAGGAGTTGACAGTCAGTTTGGCAATAAAGCAATCTGCTGCAGCCTTCACCTGTAGAGCCTTTGGTGGTGTCTTGCCTGGGTAGGTGTCGAGCAGACAGGCAAGAAGCACTCTTCCCTGGGCTTCTGATGCAAGCCATCACTGCTAGTTTTGCTGTTGGACCATGAAGTTATGATGTGATTATTAGGTATTTCAATTTCTGGTGCAGACTGGAAAGGAAATGAGCCAAATTGTAGCACAGATAACATTGTCCCAACACCTGTCCTTCCAGGTGCCTCTTAGTGCATATCAAGCAAGACAGGGTGGGTGCATCGGTCATGCCCTCAGCCTTTTATGCTGCCTCCCAGCTGAATGACAAGAGGAGCCTGCAAATTGAAACTCCCATGCAAATCTTGCACGTGACCAAAAGCTATTTTGAAGCTGGTTCATGGTCTCAGTGACAGGAATCCATCTGAAGGCACACTCCATCCAGAGCAAACCAAATACTGCATCTCAGTAAACCCCTCTGGGTTGGGCACATCTCCGTTGAACAGAAAGGCACAGAGCTGAGCAAACCTGGTCCGAATGCCCACAAAGTCTGATCTTCTGCTGTGGCCATCAACCACATGAAAGATAGCAGAGGCTGGAAGGCACATTCCTGGGTTCCAGGTGCTTTGGCAGGGAGGGGGCTTACAAGCCCATCTGGACCTTCTATCTCTCCAAATCCTTCAGTCTCCAGGACGCTGGTGATTTCCACTCAAGGTCCCTCTCCACAGAAGGCAGGAACCAGTTGTAGGGACCTTCTTCCTGGCAGAGGAGATGTGCAAGTGCAATGTGATACAGCGGAGAAGTGAACACCTGAAGGCAAGGTGAGTGGGGCAAAAGGACAAATAACCTGGATTTCCAGAGACATGAGAGATGAAGGGTGCAGGCAACAGTTGGGGAAAACCCACCAAGGACTGGCTTTCCCCTCTTTTCCTCAAATTTTCCTCCTCGCCTGGTGGCGTAAGCCACCTGTGTCCCAGTACAGAGCAGAAGCTTGGCCTCTCTTGGTCTTTCAGGGACAGGGACAGGGTTGAATGGGAGCAAGATCCCTAGCACAAGGGTTCTTTCAAGATGAAAATGATGAGAAACAGGAATAACAAAAATAACCCCAGCAGATTTTGGGAAGTGAGAGAGGCACCCCTGTGCAATCTGCCCAGATCCAGCCAGCCCCTCCAGCCTTGGGCTGACTTGGTGCGTCCAAGCCAGGGGAGCCTGGAGCCACATGCATCGAATCAGCCCAACGGAGCCCAAATCTCAGAGTGACCCTTTCTGGGTGCTACCTACACCAGAGCAGTCCCACACGGGGCTGAGCCGGCCTGGGGGCAACATCCCCACCACTGACCCCCCACGGTACCCGCTCAGAGCAGCATCTCTCCTGCCTGCCTCAACCCCGACACTGAAAAAGCCACTCAGCACAGCCTGGGATCAAGTGTATGTTTTTATTTTTTAATGGAACATAAACTCCTTTAGAAAAAACATTCATCTGGATGATAACACCCATAGAAAAAAACATCAATCTCGGGTTCTTTTTTTTTTTTTTTTTTTTTTTTTTT